TCGAGGGGCAAGTGAATGGTGAGCTTGAACAAGAAAAAGAAACTATATAGTAACTAAAAATAAAAATAAAAATAAAAAGCTCTTATTCTCGCGTGTGAGGCAGGATCTGTGAGACTTTGAGCCCCGAGAAGCGCCAAAATCCTCCCATCAGGATCAGATACGCAGTCGACATTATTCAAATAATATTCAAACAGGGCAACCCAAACTTCCAGCGCCGGTAGCCTTGAACTTATGCTCTTCTCTGGGGATCTGAAATAGGGATGTCTGAGATCGTTTGACATAGAATAATGTCAAGCAAAATGGGCCCTGAATAGAGTTCAATCAAACCTTGCGAAATCCATATCTCCAAACCTGCCTCTGGAGTCTGGTTCCCACGCCCTAGTTCGCCCGTCAGTCGGCGTCAGAACTCTCGTGTTTCCGGACAATTAATTCATTTTCAAGCCTAGCTCACTAGTTGCATGTCGTCGCCTGGCCGATGGAAGATTGACCTTGATTGAACCCCCCCCCCACCGGCGCGCCAGCTCAGCCTCAGCTCCGACGCAGTGACATTCAACGAGGCCTCGAGGAGCCTCAGAGAGCGCATCGACCAGCGTCATGGAAGCCTGTGCGGCATTGTGAAGTCTCGTCCTTGTTGTCGTCTCTCCATCCTATCCATCCATCTATCCCTTCGTATCTTTCTTCCTTTTCCTTCACTCTTTCTTCCACCCCCATTTCTCGTCTCCGCTCGTCTTCATCATTGTTCCATTGTTCGCCTCATTGGCTTTGTTCCCCCCCACTCTCGCTTCTTTCCCCGTTGTTGGAAAATCTCAAATTCCCTGCTCCGTGTTCTGTTGTGCATAGGCTTGTGAACTTGAGACGGTCCACCTCCCCTGGGCAGCGTCAAGCCGCATCGATCCGGACCCCTGTCCTTGTCCAGCGTGCACCTCGTCGTATCGTGATTTGCCCTCGAAAACACTAGTCGACCTCATCGTCACTCGCTTCTCCACTCCCCAATTCAAACCTTCAAGCCTGCGGTTTCTTTTGCACAATCGGCACTGCGAACCACGTTTGTCCTGCTTATTGTTGACTTCTCCTCTATCCTGCGAGAATCCCGTATTCGTTGCGGTGTAATTTCAGGCTTGTCCAGGGTCTCAATCGTATTGTGGTTACACCTGAGCTTTTGGGAGCAAGCTTGACGATTGTTAGGTCTCAATTTATATTATCTGTCGTGGGTGGAAACTCGCAACTGGCTGAACGAAACTGGACCGGCACTTTTGACCTGTCCCATTGAGAGTCACCTTGATTCATTCCCTCTCTCCCAACGGGAAGCAACATCGCCCGAAAGAACAGGACTTTCACACCTGCTGCCTGACTAGGAAACGACAGTAGCTCACCTTCATCGTGGAGGCCTTGCATACCAGGGCATGGCTATTCTCCATGCAGGGTAAAAATTTCTCCACTTCTATGAACGCTACCTGCAGCTTTCTCAAATTCCCTTGCTAACCACCTCATCTCTGTAGCTAAATAATGAGGCTGTGATATCGGATATAGCCACGAACCTACTTCCACTTCAGCGCGGCCGTTTTCGTGAATTATAAATTTTCAGCCTCTCGAACCTCCCCATTCCGGCACAGATTCATTCAAGGAAAATTTGATTACGCTTTAGTGATTGTTGTCTGTCGGTCGATAACACCCTCGAAATTTGCACACAATTCACCAGTTATCTCATACCCATTTGGTGTAGCTGTTGGGCTCTTTTTGGAACTTCTGCCCCTTCGGATACTAAGAGGTTCATTAGCCGGAAGACACCTGAGATATCATTCATAATCTTTCCGCAAAACGAAAGACGCTGTCGAACATGGCAAGCTTAGTGGCCCCAAAGCAAGCCCAGCATTCAATATCCCCTCTCCCTCCATCCCCATCAGACGCCAGGTCCTCCCCTCCTCCAGACCTCAACCAACAAGATCGTCCTCAACTTCCGCTCCACTCTCCACCGCATCCGCCCAATCAGGATCTAAATCTAATTCTCAATACTATTCCAAAAAGAAAGCCCGTGAAGTTACCCCCGCTAGAAGTTCTCAGTGATGCTGTCATCCACAATTCTCCCGTCTCTCCTGTCGTCATTGATCCATCGTCCGCTCTTCCCAACCCTTCCATTGCCCAAATAGAAGATGTAAGAACCTTGTCTTCTAGCTCCTGGCAATCGGATGAATTGGCACTGGATAATCCTGGCACAACACAGCTCCCACCGCGCCAGAGCTCTCTTTCACCCACAACTAACCCCAACTCCTACGATCAAACTCTACCGTACCGGCACAGGCATTCAGACAGCATGGCCGGAATCCCTAAAAAT